AGGACATAAGTACCTGAAGGTATGGCTGAGTACCGGGTCAGGTTTTGGTGTTTTCAGAGCCTGATGGCCGTATGACCGAATGTCTGGGTAGAAAAATAGTAAAGAGATAACGTACCGTGGGCGTAAGCCTGTGGGAAAGTAGTAATGAAATTGAGACCACGTGAGGTCTAGTATGGGATGTAGTAAAAAGAGTAGTGAACTATACCTTGGTTTGAAGTACAGAGATTACCTTAAGCGTGGCAGGTTAACTGCGTTGAACCGGTGGAAGCTTAGAATAATACAGGAGCTAAGGGTTTAACCAAAGAAAATTTCCATAGTTAGCGACAGATGTGAAGGTAAGTAATAAAACCCGATAACTCAAAGTGATAAGATACAATACCTGTTCCTGTAATAAAAGACCTTGAAATAACAACTTTAGCGCAGAAAAAGCGAGAACCGGTGCAATCTGTAAAAGCCAAAATATGTGACAGCGTGATTATATGGAAAAGGAATAGTACAGATGTTGGTGTAACGGGTATTGTAGCACGTAGTGTTTAATGACTTATTATCTGTGTGTTGAGAATAAAAAATGTCTGGTGTATATTTAGAAAAATAGTATTATTTGTATAAGTCACGTATGAAAGTATGTACCATGGTTAAAAAGGGGTGAAGTTTATTAGTTAAAATATGTGTAAGAAAAACCGTATGTTTATAATAGTTTTTATAGTAAAAATAAATTAAATCGGTTAGCATAGATAGAAAAACAAAAGGCTGGTAGTTAAACCGGATTAGTAAAACCCCATACTGACGTGTAGATATCAGTAGTTATCTGACCGAACAGGGAATATACGTAAATGTAGTAGGATTCGTGTAATTTGAACTTTGTGCATACTTTAGTCTGTTTGAATAGGAATATAACCGAATATGGATTAGTACAATGGTGTTCGTGTATTAACCGTACGAAATAGGTCGGTACTGAGTGACCGAACGGAAAAAAGGGAATACAGATAATAATGAGTGTAATACTGTATATATAGATTCGGTAGTTTCCGTACGAATATGTTTAAACGATGAGTAAATGTGCCGAACATTCGTGCGTTTTGGCGCGAACACTGAATACTTTATAAGAAGAGCACGTATTCATGTAAATAAGATAGAGGGAGCCTACCCCTACGTTTTTAGGCCCGAACGGAGGGAAATAGCGAACGCTAATTCCCTCACCTAGCTTACGTGAACGTGCCGGTCTCGTGACCGGAAGTCGGGTACCTCGACCAGGAAAAAAACGAGTGGAAGGACCTCAAACGGACGGTGGATTGTTCAGGACGTCTGACTGCTGGAAACAGGAACAGTTCTGGCGGGAAGCTGGACCAGAAGTGCTGGTTGCTATGGGGACAATCAGCTGAGCGGCAGAGGTGAGTAGGAACTGGGAGTTTAAGTAGGGGACTTACTCCTCCTACAAATTCAGGCCTAATGGCCTTTCTACATATATATATATATATATATAAATCACAGTTAATGGCACTCACCCTTGCTCCTATAAAAAATAATAAAAATGCCCAGGTGCAATCCCATGCTTATAAATAGTATTATTGAAAAAAGGATGCACTCATAGGTCTTTAAACGAATACTGATGATATTTAATCCATATAGGGTTTACAAATTGCTTGATCAACGTTTCGACCCATTCGGGTCTTCCTCAGGATCAACATGTAAAAATAAAGTCAAGATATATATAGAAAAACATAAAGTGTACTCACCAATTGTGATTAGATTCCCTCATCCCTCCAGTCCGAACCCGGAAGTGAAAACCGGAAGTCACGTGACGTGAAAAAAATTACGTGTACCAGTGTTGCCCGTGAACGTGGTTGCTAGGAAACCAATAGACACATTTAACCCCTTAAAACCGCAGGACGTACAATTACGCCCTCTAATAGGCGGCTCTAAACGCCGCCGGGCGTAATTGTACGCCCTCCGGTTTTTGTTAACTTACCCGGTCGCCGGCGGTCCCACGCCGGCGATCGCGGTTGGGGGGACTCCCAGGGAGCCCCCCGCGGCACATCCGTCCTCGTTGAAGCCCCCCGGCCATGTGAGAGTAGGGTCCTAGCGAGGACCCCACAATCACATGGCCGGGTATAGCTGGCTTCTGTATTGCCGGCAGGGGGGCTGCCTGTAATTACAGGTGGTCCCCCTGCTGGCTGAAAATAAAATAAAAATAAGTTAATGGTGTAAAAAAAAATAATTATATATACTTAAATCATATGTATATATTATATATATATGATCTAAGTATATATATACACATATACATACACACACATACACCGTCTAGGTGTATTTTACTATTAATATATATATAATTATATATATATATTAATATCAAATTACACGTAGACTGATACTGATTAAATATATATATAATTATTGTTATATATGTATTTATATATAATATAAAAAAAATAAAAATGTAAATACGTTAAAAAATAAAATTAAAAAAATAATTAAAAATAAATAATTAAAAAATATATAGATGTGTGTTATTTCATTCTAACTGTTTTGTGAAATTAATATATATATATATATATATCAAAATACACGTAGAACGAAATAATATATATATCTATATACATAAATATATACGTATATATCACTATATATATACACCTATATATAAATAAAAATATTTAAAAAAAATTATATAGATATATACATATATATACACATACGTATATATATACATATATTAATTCTACATATATATTTATATAATATTTTTACATAATTAGGTATCTTAATTAATTACAATTAGCAGGACCTGCCTGACAACCCATGCAGAAAGTAAAGGGAATTTAATTTGCTAGCACTATATTTAACCCTATAACTTTCCGAGACACCATAAAACCTGTACATGGGGGGTACTGTTCTACTCGGGAGACTTCGCTGAACACAAATATTAGTGTTTCAAAACAGTAAAATGTATTACAACGATGATATCGCCAG